TTGTGCAACCATCACCACAATCTAACTTTGGAACATTTTCATGCCCCCGCCCAAAGAAGCTCAGTACCTATTAGCATGACTCCGCCTACCTCCCCAGCCCCAGGCAAGCCCTGGTCTACTTTGGATTTGCCGATCTGAGCATCTCCTATAAATGGAATCATTCAATGGGTGGCCTTTGTGACTGGCCTCTTTCACTTAGCATCATTTTGAAGGTAACTCATCTGTCATAGAGGTTGTTTAGGATCATCTTGGGTTGTAATTTCTGATATTTTTCATCAGATCATTGTATTTTTTTTTTAAATCTGCGGTTGAGAGCTCAGAGCTGCCTTTGATCACACAAAGAGAGGCGGCATGGGGTGTCAGTAAGCAAACGAACAAACACGAAACCACACACGTTCTGCCCAACAAACTGAGCCCAAATCCTGGGTCTGCCTTTCAACTTCAGCGACCTTCAGCAAGTTACCGATCCCCTCAGATCCTTAGTTTGTTCTTCTGTGAAATGGGAGTGTCTGTCCATTCTAGGGTCATGCAGAGGATTAAGTAAGAACATGTGCGCGCAGGACATGCTACTCTGCCAAGGATGATTCATCTATAGCGATGTCTTCGAGATTCCTGGGCTGTCCCATATGGGACCATATTGTGTGCTTAAAATATTCATTACTTGACTAATAAACATGCATTGCGTATTAGAGAAAATTCGGAAAATATAGATGAATCAAAGCAAAACAAACACTTTAATCCCACTACTGGGAGGGACAATTGCTATTATTATTTCAGGGAAAATAAGTCCAGATTTCCTTTCACTACTTATATACATTTGTATGTGTCTACATATTTCCCCCAGCATGAGGTCATGCTATTTTTGTAGCAAGCTGTTGTGTTTTTTGTTTTGTTTTTTTAAAGATTTATTTGAGAGAGCGAGAAAGAGAGAGAGAGAGCACATGAGAGGGGAGAGGGTGGGGAGGGTCAGAGGGAGAAGCAGGCTCCCTGCCGAGCAGGGAGCCTGATGTGGGACTTGATCCAGGGACTCCAGGATCATGACCTGAGCCAAAGGCAGTCGCTTAACCAACTGAGCCACCCAGGCGCCCAAGCTGTTGTGTTTTTAAGTAGGCGCCAGTGTGGGGCTTGACCTCACCACCCTGAGATCAAGAGTTGCATGCTTGACTGGTGGGCGCTTGGGTGGATCAGTTGGTTAAGTGTCTGCCTCCGGCTCAGGTCATGATCCAGGGTCTTGGGATCGAGCCCTGAATTGGGCTCCCTGCTCAGTGAGGAGCCTGCTTCCCCGTTCCCTCTGCCTGCCGCTCCCCCCCTGCTTGTTCTCTTCTCTCTCTCTCTCTCTGTCAAATAAATAAAATCTTTAAAAACAAAACAAAAAAAAGTCACATGCTCTACCATCTGAGCCACCCAGGTGCCCCAGCAAGCTGTTTTTAAACGATATCATATGTGGACTATATTTTCATGTCAGATACACAATTATCACTTTTCAAAAGCAACATGCTTTTTTTTTTTTTAATTGGCTAAGTATACCATAAAATATTTGACCAATCTGCTTTTGGTGAGCACTTACGTTGAGTCCAGTTTTTTTTTATTTTATTTTTAGATTTTATTTGAGAGAGACAGAGATAGAGAGAGCACAAGTGGGGAGGAGAGGGAGAAGCAGGCTCCCCGCAGAGCAAGGAGCCTGATGCGGAACTCGATCCCAGGACCCCAGGATCATGACCTGAGCCGAAGGCGGATGCTTAACCGACTGAGCCACCCAGGCGCCCGAGTCCAGTTTTTAAGCTGTTAAGAATACAGAGGTGGGACACCTGGCTAGCTTAGTCGGTATAGCGTGTGACTCTTGATCTCGGAGTTTTAAGTTCGAGCCCCACATTGGGCATGGAGATTACTTAAAAAATAAAATTAAAAAAAAGAATATAAAGTTGAACACATTTGTATATTCATGTTCTGTTCTTGTTGGATTTATTTTTTTTTAGAACAAATTCTTGCCAAGTAGAATTACTGAATTTTTCATGTAAACGTTTTACTGTGATAACATGTACCAAAAAGTGCATCACCATGAATATATATTTCCATGAACTTGCTGAGAACACATGTGTATAACCTGCATCTGGATCAAGAAATAGAATACTCCCAGTACCCAGAGGCCTCCCTCATGCCCCATTCAAATTGCTACTCTCCCCTCAGGGGCAACCACTATCCTGACTTCTCTTTTTAAAAATTAATACAGGGGTGCCTGCGTGGCTCATTCGGTTAAGGGTCTAACTCTTGATTTTGGCTAAGATCATGATCTCAGGGTTGTGAGATCGAGCCCCACATTGGGCTTGCACTGGATGTGGGGCCTGCTTAAGATTCTCTCTCTCCCTCTGTCCCCCTCTAAAAAAAAAATTAAGACAATGTCATCATCATTATTATTAGAGAAGTTTTAGATAGGTTCACAGCAAAATTCAGGGGAAATTAGAGTTTTCTCATATGCCCACCCCCAACCCCACTATTGCTTGATCACCCCCATTATCAATAATCCCCCAACAGAGTGGTACTTTGGATACAGTCAGTGACCCTACATGACACATCATCATCGCCCCAAGTCCATTGTGTACATTAGGGTTCCCTCTTGGAGTTGTATGTTCTGTGGGTTTGGACATATGTATAGTGATGGGCATCCACCATGATGATGTCCTACAGAGTCGTCTCACTGCTCTAAAAACCCTCTGCTCTACCTATTCCTCCCTCACCCCCGCGACTTCTGACAGCCACTGATGTCTCTCGCGTCTTCATAGTTTTGCCTTTTCCAGAATGTCATATAGTTGGAATCATCCAGAATGTAGCTCTTTTCTTTTTCTTTTCTTTTTTTTTTTTTTAAGATTTTATTTATTTTGACAGAAGGAGACAGCGAGAGAGGGAACACAAGCAGGGGGAGTGGGAGAGGGAGAAGCAGGCCTCCCGAGGAGCAGGGAGCCCGATGCAGGGCTCAATCCCAGGACCCTGGGATCATGACCTGAGCCGAAGGCAGATGCTTAACGACTGAGCCACCCAGGCGCCCCCAGAATGTAGCTTTTCTATCCTGACTTCTAACACTATACATGAGTTTTGCCTGTTTTTGAACTTTATTTGGATGGAATCATAAAGTACGTGCTCTTTCCTGTCTGACTACTTTTGCTTGTTTTGATGGTTCTTTTTTTAGGATTTTTAAATTTTTTTTCAAGTAATCTCTACACCCACTGTAGGGCTCGAACTCACAACCTCGAGATCAAGAGTCCCACGTACCACCAACTAAGCCAGCTAGAGGCCCATTTTTGTGGTTTTGAAACTCACCCAAGTTATAACACACATTGTTGGTTCACTGCTGTATACTATCCTATTGCGTGACTACGCTACACGGTAACTCTTTATGTGTTCTGCCATTGCTGGGGGCTTGGATAGCTTCCAGTTTAGGGCTGTTGAAATCGTATTTCCATGAACCAGCTCCTACATATTTTCTGATGAGCACAAGTATGGACCCAGGAGTGGAATTGCTAGCCTATCCAGTGTACACATGTCTTTGCTGATATGCGTGTGCTGTAAATGGCCATCTCCTCCTCCAGAAAGGTGGTAGAAGCCCCTGGTGGTTATCAGTCTTTCCAATGGTCAGTTTCTACATCTGTAATGGGGATAGAGCCCTGTCCCAGGGTGTCCTGGGGAAGGGATGAGCTAATGTGTGGAGATGTGCATCCAGTACTCAGCAAACCCTCCGTACCAGTTGGCAGTCATAAGGAGTATTTTCTCACCAACAGCAGCTTCTAGGGAGGCTGGAGAATTCTGAGCTGCAGACTCTCGAAGAGATGCAACCTGAGTCTGAGACCAAAAAAAAAAAAACAAACCCAACAGGAAATGAGGTGACAAGCTGGTCCCAGAAATTAGTTGCCTCTGCAACAAGAGGAGAAGAGATGTTTAAGGCATGGGAAGCACTGGGAGGAGGGTGGAGGGGGCTGGCTGTTGTTCATCAGCCCAGTACCTGTTTGGAAGGTTCTGCATGAACTGTACCTAGTCCCCGGGAACCAGAGGTAAGGGCCTTGCACGCCAGGATATGTGGGCAGACAGGAGATACTGAGTAGCGGATGAGGGCAGGCTTGGGAGATGGGTCCCAGCTCACCTCATGGCAGGTTGTGTGGTCGAAAGTGTAGCTAAAGTGTTCAAATCGGAGATAGAAGAGTAGCTACTCCCCTATAGTGTTGTGTCGAGGCTGAAGTGAGAAGGTACAGGTCGGTGTTGGTGTTTCGTTCTGTGCGTTTCATAAAATAAGCCCTTGTGTGGACGAGACCATTATGAATCCTGGCATGCACAAGGGCCTCATGCCAGCTGTGGAAGAAACATGGCCCACCAGCCCGGAAAGGGTCATTAAGAAAAACTCCCGTATGTAGGTTTTCTAAAACCATTGAGATCATATGTCATGCACAGTGCAATTACCAAAATCCTATTTCTTTTCCTTCCAGTTCCCTCACTGCATCAGATTCTCTGTGTCTCACTGCGTGTCTCCCAAATTACCTAGCACCAGCCTGAACCGCTTTTCCCTTCCATACTCCTCTGTCTTGCAGTATGGGACCAACTGTCTGAAGCCCCTTGCTCAGCTAGGAAAACACCTGTCTTCAGGAGTGGGAGGGGAGGAAGTCCGACAAACGGATGGGATCCCTTTAGTGGGCTGGGGAAGGAGAGAATGACCTGGTTCACGTTCTTGCTGTCCCGGGAGCTGCTGTTAAAGGGGATCTGAAGGAATAACCCCAGAGGTGCATTGTCAGGAAGAATGGGAAACCCTTTGTTGGATTCTTCCTCTGGTGGTGCTCAGTGTTGCCTGGGTGGGGAATGCAGGAGAACAATGGAACGGGAGGGTGGGACGAGGCAGGAGGATGTCACCAGCCTCCTGCTGGTGGCTTCTGAGTTTAGGGATCACTCATGTCTTCCTGTTTCTCTCTCCCACTCTGCCCCCCTCCTTCTCCTCCTCCTCCTCCTCCCCTGCTTCTCAGTCTCCTCAGACCAGATCGAGCAGCTCCACCGGAGGTTTAAGCAGCTAAGTGGAGACCAGCCCACCATTCGGTAAGACCTGGGGTTGGGTTTGGGCGTTGGGCATGTCCACGGCCCTTGAGGATTTCTCTTGCAGCTCTTTTCTTTCTCTGAGTGCAGGGTGACTCTGAAAGAGCCCCTGGGTTGCCCCATTTCCTGCGGCAAACCTGTAGTTGTTGTAATTCTTTTGGTCCCTTCTAGACGAGATGTTCTAGAGCCAATCTAGAGCCACACTTGTTTCTCTCGGGATCAGGAATGTCTAACCAGAGTGAAGACAGTGGGCCAGTCAGCCACACGTACCCTACCCTGACTTCCTCAAATGGGACATGCTTTTGGCCTCTGTGCTTAGAATCCCAGATAGACGTTGAAGGTCTGTTGAATGTCTCTTGACTCTGCTTCCTCTTGGTGGTTACTTCCAGCCTCAGGCAAGATGGCAGGAGCAGCCTCTGATTTCTGTCAAGGAAACTGGCCATCCTACATTGCGTTTTTAGTGTTAATCTTTTAGAAGCTATGTAGGTTTAAGGAGGAATGCCTTAAACTGTTCTCCTTATCCCACAACAGTGTGTTCAGTCTTAGATGCTGGTTGAATTATATAAAACTAGGTTAGTGAGAGGTCCTGGTTAGCGTGTTTGGTCATCACAGAGTTGGCCAAGAAGCTTTGAGTCAAACTGTTGCAAGCAGAGTTTCCAGTGCAAGGTAAACAGCACTGTACCACAAACTTTCTAACAGATGCAGTTTCCTAAAATAAATATTCCAGGTCTGAAGTTTACAGTCTTCAAGCTTCAAAACAAACATTTGAATAATCCAGGGAAACTTCCTTCATCTTAGTAAACAGACTTAAATTTTACCTAAGTTTTATGGAAACTGACAGATAAAATATCCACTTTCCCTGGTCTGTCTAAACAGAAGCATGTTGTTAATCCCATGCATTGTATTCTCAAAGCTTCCATTCCCAGAGCTTAGAGTCTGGTGATCGCATGGTTCCTGTGGCCTCTTGTCTCAATTTGATTATATCCAAGGCAGAATGAGAGCCGGTTAGGACTGACGTCTTTAATTCTATCCAGGGCACCTGCTAAGCCCAGTAAAGGAGAGGGAGTGAGCCCAGCAGAAAGTCACCTGGCTTCTCGTTGGCTCCGAGAGTGTTACATGTCTGGGTCAGAGCCAATCACCATGAGATGCTAGAGATGCAAATGGGTTTTCCCTAGCACTGTGAGGAAGTGGAGCTGGATCATCAGCCAGGGGCAGGGATGGAGGGTGGAGTGGTTTCTCAAGGGCAAGTTGGGCTGAGGAGTGGGTGCAAGGTGGCAACACCTCAGCCGGGCACCTGGGCGTCTGAGGGGAGGTAACACTGTGCACCTGGATGTTGGACCATGGAAGTGGCAGGGCACCCCTCCCCCTCCTCCCATCAGAAGTTTCTGGGCCCGTGCTCTGTGCCGGGTGCTCGGTACCTGGGCTGGTGGATGCAGCTTCCGGTGGGTGTTGTGTGAAAGTGGGGCCCCCTCTCTCAAGAGAATTTTCCAGCAAGCGATGCCCTCAGCCCTGGACCAAGCTGCTGTGCCTGGGGGTGGCACTTGGCAGCCGGACTGTCCTCGGAGCCTCTCCCAGTTTGAGATTCTAGCATCCGAGCTCCGTGTGGCCCGGTGTATGTGCTTTACACACACTCTTTCCCAGCTGGAGTGTGTGCACAGATCACTCGGGAACCTTCCTCATGTAGGCTTGGCCTCAGCCGGTGTGGCGGGCCTGGGACCCTGCATTTCTAACTGGCACCTGGGCTGCACGCCCCCTGAGCGCCTGGCCCTGGGGCATAGTAAGCACTCAGCAGAGGCTGCCCCGCATCGGTCCCCGACCCGGCTCTCCTGCCTCCGGGGCTCAGATGTCTGTCTGTGCCGTCCTAACCACCGCCTCTGTCCTCAAGCCTGTGGCCTCCCTCCTCTGGCTCGCATCCCTGTGCCTAAATCCAGCGCGGCTCGTAGGTCTTAGCAGCAGCGGGGTTTCCTCCGGGAAGTCCGCACCCCGTCAGGCTCTCTGGGCCCCTTACGTCCTCCCTGTGGCCACAGGACGCAGCGGTTTCTGCCTCCCTGTGGGACGGCGAGTGTGAACGTGGGTGTGATCACCTGGGAACCGTGTTACAACGCAGGTTTGACTCACAGGTCTGGAGCGGGACCCCAGACTCTGCATTTCCAACGAGCACGCGTGGTCACGGGCAGGTCGGCCCACCCCCGCCCAGCACCGAGGGTGGTGCCCAGGAGCCCCTCTGGGTTGGGTGGGCGGAGGCTGCATTCCCACAGGCACTGAGGGGCCCGGTTGCAGGCTCCTGCCTCCCACTTGTGGGCACACAAGCCGTGGGCTCTGCACACCCACCCCCAGGACCATCCCACGCATCATGCTTTTCCCACCTGCCCTCACGCAGGCCCTGAGTGTGTCTGCTTAGACCCGGTGAGCAACCCCTGCTCCCAGGCCTTGGGGCCCCTTCAGGTCGTGTCCATACTCTTTAGCTGCGGACCACCAAGGTCTCCGGGTGCTGGTGTTTGCTTTGCTGAGGTCTCCTCGAGGACACCGCCTTTTCCAAGATAACCCTCCTACCCCCTGCACTCCCACAGCCTCCTCCTGGGGGTGCCCCATCCCCACCGTTGACAGCGCAGAATCATAACTGCGCCCCTAACAGACCGCTGGCCCCATGAGGGGCAGGAACTGGGTTTTTGTTCCTGGCCCTAGTGCTGTGTCCAGGGCTGGTGACCTACTAGAGGCGTGGGAGGACCATTACTGGTTGCTCTCTCTCATTCATTCAACCAAAGTCATGAGGAAGAAGCGAGAGTAAGGATTGCCAAAGTTCTTCATAAGCCCTGAAGCGTGGAATCCGTGAGACCCGTTGTTAACGCCGTGTCCCTCCATAGGGTGTGCAAGTCCCCGGGGGAGAATTTATCTGGGGCCTGGTTCGTAGGAGCGTTCACGGATGTAAGTGGTTATTCATTGAGCATGTTTTTTGTGCTGCGTAGCTGGAGTATGTTACTTTCGTTTTCTAAAACCCGACCGGAAGTAGTGGTAGGAACAGCTGTTCTCCCCATTTTACAGATGGGAAAGTCAGGCTCAGAGAGGTGCTGTGCCTGTTCCCGAGTCACAGAGCTCCTCCGTGGAGGAACGGGGACTTGAGCCCAGGGCTGAGATCCCTCTGTAAGGAAGCTGTGGGCATTGCCGTAACTTGGGAGTGGCTTCTGAGGACCTCAGTCTCCCTGCTCTGCCATCCAAGGACCGTCCGCCCTTATCATCCCGGGGTGGGCATGTATAATCTCCATCCCCAAAGCCCCAGCTCCAGTGTCTCGCAACGTCTGCCGGGAGGCTGGTGTCAACTGTGGGGTGACCACCTAGCCCCCCGGGGAGGAGGTGATAGACCATAGTGTTTTATGCAAACAGGTCTGCCTGAAGGGCCCCCCGCTCCCAGAACCACTTTGCCCGATCCTACTCTGCCTTTTAGGACCTGGGGAAGGGGGAAGGGGCAGGTTTTCGGGTCCCCCAGGCATTCCTACCCATCCTCCCAGGGCAGAAGGGATGAACAGCCCTGGGCTGGGATCTGGTCCCCGGCACCGTCCCTGCACTGCCAAGGGTTTCCCCAGGGACCCCGGGGCCGAGCCTTCAACCTCAACATCCAGGATGCTGTGGGCTATGCTGGGGTTTCTGAACAGGGAAGGGCGCTTCGCTTCATTAGCATCCAGCTTTGTGAAAAGCATCGCCCGGCGTCCCCCGAGTGAGGCCCCCAGCACCACGGTCTGCGAGGGGTGTGGGAGGTGGCACGCTTTGCCCTGCCTTCTCAGCGAATGAGGTGCCCCGAGAGCTTATTAGGATCCTGTGGGGCAGGAGTTGGGGTAGGAAAGGGGAGGGGTAGATACCTCAAGCGCAAAAAGCCCCTCAAAAGTGACCATGTACACCTGCAGGCTTTAAACATAGACTACTAGTAAGTTTTGTAAGTTGCATTAAAAAAGTAATGAAGAATTGAGTTTCTGAATGTGTGACTTTGATAAATTTTATATAGCTTTAAAAAAAAAATTCCCACAACCTAAGAACCACTGGAAGGGATTTAATTTTAACCCACCATCTCCTGCTCATGTTTGGTTGGTCCCTTGTCCTTCTGAAAATGATCTGAGGCTGTCCGGGGACGGCCTTACCCTGAGGCCCCAGAGCTGCCGGGTCAGAGCCCCACTCTGTATGCGTTCCTCCTTACAAGGCCCAGCACCTGAATAAAAAAAGAAAATCCTAAAGCTGCATTTTCCTTTAAGGCCCCCCTAAATTGTATATTTCAGGACCCCCAAAACCTGAGTCCACGCTGACACAAGTACTAAGCTCTGAGTCCTCTTGGAGAAATGCTTGAATAGAAAACGGTCATGGGACACATTGGTTGGGTACCCTTGCTGTGCATGTAGACTTCTGTCCTCAAGGCTTTTCTTCCAGCAGGGAAGCCCCTCCCCTAAGTGGATCCCCAAACAGATAGGATTTTAGATCACGAGGAAAATACAGTAATTGCCTCTGGCACTTTGTCTTTCTTTAGTTGGGGCCACTTAAGCGGTGAATGCCTTAAACAGCAAATTTTACTTCCTGAGCGCGCCGTGGCCGGCTCACCACCCTCCAGAAATAGATGCTGTGGAATCCTTCAAAGTGACGCAGGCCAGGAGGAGGTCTGATTAGATAGATCCACGTTACGAAAATATTTTTAGATTCATCAGGCCTCTGAATGTGGAGTGAGTCCTGGAGTAAACAGAGCCACAGACATACAAGGCAGAGAAAAAGGGAGCAGTGCTCATTGTTGACCGCCACCCAAGTACAGAGCAGCATTCTGGTTTTTCTTAATATTTTTATTATTTGAGAGAGAGAGAGAGAGAGTGAGCGAGAGCATGAGGAGGGGGAGCTGCAGAGGGAGAGAGAGAAGCAGACTCCCATGCTGAGCAGAGAGCCCAATGCGGGACTCGATCCCAGGACCCTGGGATCATGACCTGAGCTGAAGGCAGACGCTTCACCGACTGAGCCCCCCAGGTGCCCAGGGC